CGCAGAGCACTCCCCCCATCACGCGGCCAGGCTGAGGCTCACCCTGTGCCCTGGCTGTTCTTGGGGGGCAGTGCCGAGCCCGAGCCCTCCCTCCTCTCCGTGCAGGGACATCCGGTTAATCGAGGTGACGGAGAACATCTGCAAGCGGCTGTTGGATTACAACCTGCACAAGGAGAGGAGCGGCAGTAACAGATTCGCAAAGGTGAGGGCTGTCCTCCAGTCCCCTGCTCCCAAGCGTCCCTCGCCCACCCCTGCACTGCTGGGGTGCCGAACTGTGCTTCGTTCTTCCATCCTCTTGGATCCCCTGCCAGCGCCCAGCATGCGAGGCCGCTCTGCCCCCCGAGTCAGGTGTGGGGTGCTGTCCTTGGGGGGGGTGGGCAGGCCCTCACCTGCACGGAGGGAGCTGGGGGCTGTCTTGCCTGGCCCGTGTCTTCCTGTTTTTGGGAGCGGGTTTGCAGAGGGGAACTCGCTGCCACTTGAACTCTCTCCTGGTAACGCTGATGCCCCGGGGACCCTGATTTTGGCTGGCTTGCATGTAGCTGCGTCCCTGGGCAGGGGAGAGCAGGAGCCCAGCGGGAGGAACACCACTTCACCAGGCAGCGCTTGCTCCCCCAGGGCATGTCGGAGACATTCGAGACCCTGCACAACCTGGTGCACAAGGGCGTCAAGGTAGTGATGGACATCCCCTACGAGCTGTGGAATGAGACCTCCGCTGAGGTGGCTGACCTCAAAAAGCAGGTACCCGGCCCGGTGGGATTGGCCCTCGGTGGCCGCCTGTGGGCTGGAGCGCAGGGGGAGAGAGGGTCTGGGGGTGCGCTGCCGGGAACGGAGGCGTCGGCAGGACCTGCTGCCCTGGTCCTGGTCCTGGTCCTGGTCCTGCCCTGGTGGCGTGCGGCTGGAGCTGGGCTCTCCACTCCGCATTAGTGCGACGTGCTGGTGGAGGAGTACGAAGACGTGATCGAGGACTGGTACAGGCACCACCAGACGGAGGATCTCTCCCAGTTCCTCTGCGCCGACCACGTGCTAAAAGGGAAGGACACAAGTAAGTCCTGGCTGCTGCCCGGGCCAGCGCAGGCGTGCTAGGGAGGGCGGGGGAGCCCCGCCAGGGCACGGGGAGCCCCGCTTCTCCCTCAGGGCCCCCTCTGCCCCTCTCCTCCCCAGGCTGCCTGGCAGAGAAGTGGACTGGCAAGAAGGGTGACTTGGCAAGCGTGGGGGAGAAGCAGAGCAAGAAAAAGAGCGGGAAGAAGAAGAAGAAGGGCCAGAAGGATGAGAGCGAGGGAGCTGCCGGCCTCCCAGCCGCGGGGGAGGCCCTGGAGGAGAGCGGGGTCCAGGAGGAGGCTCCGCTCACTCACAGCCCAGCTGATGAGCTGTAGGCATGCAGCCCCAGCCCCCCGCGGCCGCCCGCTCTGGGGTCTCACCCCGCCGTGTCCTGCGGGTACCAAAGGAAAAGGGACTTGCGTGGGCGACCCCGGGGGGGGGCCGGAGCGCCCGGCCCAGACTGGCCAGCCTGGGCGCGATCCTGCGAGCAGCAGGGGGGCCACGGAGCC